GCTTGAGGCTGCCCAGAACTGAGGGGTCACTCCTGCCTGCAACGTTGGACTCCGCTCCACTCCACTTCTAAAGGCCTTTGAACCCAACCTGTTCTCTAGGGCTTTTCATTGGCCGTTCGTTATTTCTTCCCTTGTCTTTTTATTGAACACTTTTGAACATGTTTGTGCTATGTAACCCAGTGGGATCAATGACTCTTCAGAGCAGAAGCCTTGCCTTGCCTCTGTATCCCCTCAGCTGCCAGGCCTGGGAGGCTGTAGATCCTCCATAAAGTCCCATTGAATGAACAAGGCGTTGTGCTTGCTTGTCTCTTGTGACAGTTATCACACGTTTCTCTCTAAACGGTTCTTTCCTTGACTGTCCCTTCTGTCTCCAAACAAGCACATCTTTAAGAGCTTTACAGCTAGTAATTTTTACCTACTTTGTGGAAAACAGCAGAGATTTACGAAAGACTCCAGGGACTTCATAAGGAATATAAAGACCCAGGAAGTTCCTGCCATCCTGTTTGTTCTCTGGATTTCCTTGGAGTCCAGATGGGCCCAGGGCTGGATTTCCAGCCTTTAAACTACTCTGAAGACATTTCTTCTTCCATCCTGTGAGCTGGTCTCATTTCATGTTTAAACTTTGAGAGCTGTGTCTCTGGATCCAGCCTCTTCCAGGGACCTCCATTCACCCTTCAAGGGATTTAGCTTTCTGTTAACTCAGCTTAGAATGAGAATGTCTCTGTTGGGCCTGTGGATCTTCCTCCTGTGGGACAGGAGCAGACAAATATAAAGGGGCCCTTCCTGCAAACACCCCAGGGTCAGTCTTCATGTCCTGCCGTCCACTCTGTTTCCTAAAGACACAGGCAGAGGAATTAACTTCTTCACAGACTGACTGGAGCTGTCTGGGGACTTGGGGAAGTGGCCAGCTTGCCACCCTGGATTAGACAATCCTGCCTTCCTGCCTCCACTGTGGGAACACCACCCAAAGCTGCCACGTGCTGGGACATGGATTGCTGACAATTGCCAGCACATGAGTTATGCTGTTGACACTCCAGTGCCTGAGTCTCCTCTTGGTCTGAGCACCCAACCTGATGGAAATCTGGGTCCTACATGAGATTTAGGGAAGCACCTGACCCTCACAAAATGAGCAGGCAAAGACCTCACAGTTGTCATGAAGTGCCTGGGTCTGGTTTTCTGGGGACAGAGAAAAGTTTGACTAGAGTGACAGTTGATACATTATACATAATGTGTTAACAGAATTTTGAGGATGAGGAAAGTCAATAGGTTAGAGAAAAAGTTTATGTTTGACGAGTAGCTTTATAGTTACTATTTTTGAGTCAGTACTGGGATTTGAACTCAGGGTTTTATGCTTGCTGGGCAAATGATCTACTACATGAGCCCTACCTTCAGACATTTTGCTTCCATTATTTTTCAGATAGCCTTACTTTTTCCTAGGCCTGACTTTGGACAGACATAAACCATGACATGAACCACCTTGCCCAGCTTTGTCTTCAAGGTAGGGTTCCACTAACTTTTTACCCAGGTTGGCCTCAAACTGCAAAGTTCTATCCTGCCTCTGAAGGAGTTGTGATTACAGATATAATCACTATGCTTGATCTTGGTCAGTAACTTTGTCCTCTCCAAATAATCCCCCCTCCCACTCTGCATGTGTACACTTATTGTCCATATACTAAAACTCAGATACCAGATACCCTTGGTGCAATTAATAAAAGGGGGAGGGAGAGAGAGGTGGGAGGGAGATAAGAAAGTAAAGCAGGGGCTGGGAAGGTGGCTCAGTGGTAGAGCACTTGCCTTGCATGCATGAGGCCCTGGGTTCAATTCCTCAGCACCACATAAGCAAAAAGAAAAAAGCCGGAAGTGGTGTTGTGGCTCAAGTGGTAGAGCTCTAGCCTTGAGCTGAAAAGCTGAGGGACAGCGCCCAAGCCCAGAGTTCAGGCCCCATGACTGGATCCCCCCACCCCAAAAAAGAAAGTAAAGCAGGCCTGGATGGGAGTGGGTACTGATGGAATCAAGAAGGCCTAACAGAGTGAATGAGGATGAATGCGCTCCATATAGTTTATTTGCATGTATGAAAGTAAAAGAGTGAAACCTGGTAGATTGTTTTAAGAATGAGGGAGAGTTATGGAAGGGATAAACATTGATTGGGATACATTTGATACATGAGTGAAAATGGCACAATGAACCCCCCCTCCTTGTACAACTAATGAATGATGTTTTTTTTAAGCACTATTTGAGCTCAGGGTAACCTTTTCTATATGCCTGCATCATACCTATTACAAGGATCCTCCCCTTTTGTGTTGCTCTTACCTCCAAGTGCCAGTTATAAATGGCTCTGCCACTATTTCCTGCAAGTCCCATTGCAGCTCAAAGGCATCCAAGCCTGAGCTTCAGATTCCAGTGAGAGCCCAAGTCCCAGTGAGAGTAGAGGATGAGCAAGGAGACTTGGGCTGCTCTAGTTGATGTGAGGGCTCCTGAGCTTTAGGATAGCAAAAGAGCCTGCCAGCTAGGCCTCTTGGGGAGGCCAATCTGACTTCCTCCTGCAGGGTGAGACCCCAAGCAGCAGAGTGTCTGCAGCACAGCTTTTTTTTTTTTTTTGCTCCATCTAACTACCCCGCCTCCATCAAAGGGAAAAGCAATAATCCCCAGCTGTACCTGCATTGCCCTTTGAATCTTTTTTTCTTAAAGCTGATGCCAAGACTAGGAATCTAAGCCCTCTTCAAGGTGTCCCCCACCAAGACACTTGATGTGTTTCATCTCTGAAACAGTGTCACCAGAACAGCAAAGACCCTTCAGCCAGCTCTGATTGCAGTGGCTTCTGCCCTGGAGCTCAGGCCACCCTCAACCTGGGCCCCTCAGGGTTTGTGCACAATAGCAGTTTCTACCTTTCTCCCTGGCTCAGAAATTGTCACTGCCCTTTACCCATCACTTATAACATGAGGGAGAGGAAGCAGCTTTGCCCTTTCTAGTTGAGAAAGACAGATTTTTTTCTCTCTCTCTTTTGACTTTTATATGTTTGCTTTTCTGTGAAATAGCAATAGCTAAAGCATCTCCTTCTTGGGGCTATTGTGGAAATAGAATTAATACATAGAGGCAGGGTGCCTGTTTCTTAAACCTAAAATCTTAGCTACACAGAAGGCTGAAATCTGGGGATCATAGTACAAACCAGTCTGGGCAGGAAGGTCCATGAAACTCTTATCTCCAATCAACCATCAGAAAGCCAGAAGGAAGTTGTGGTTCAAGTGGTAGAGCACTTGTTTTGAGTGAAAAAGCTAAGGGACTACATCTAGAGTGGGGAAAAAAAGAGTTACCTCACAGGATGACAGCTAGTCATACATGGCACTGTCCAAGGGTCAACTGCAATTGGTTTTCAGGTGGACTGCCTGATTCCTTACTTGCCTCTCTAGAGGGCTTTGTTCCACTTCACCTTCTTCTCACTAACAGATGGGGAGAAGAGGCCTAAAGGGTTTGAGTGACTTGCCCCAAGGTCAACCCAGTGCTGTAGAAGCTAATTCCCTCTTGACCGTTACCCTCTGCTATATCCCCTAGGCCTCGCTCCTCTATAGCCACCACAACCCACAGCCCTCCATGCTTCCATCTACCTTTTCTCAAGGCTTCAAGGGGTCTTCCTGTGTCATATGGCTTGAAGTCCAACAGCATGAGAATAAAAGTTTGAGCTAAGGGTCCCTTGAGGAAATGACCTCTAGCAGTCCCCTAGGGATGAAGCCAGAGTATGGGAGGGTGTGCTCTGTTCTTCTCTCTTATTTGTGAAGGCATACTTTTGATCCACTGTTAAGCCCATCAGCAGTATAACCAAGACACTAACCTAATTGATCAAAGTAAATTATATTAATGTATGAAATTCTCACAATGAAACATCTTTGTAAAATAATATACACAAATTGTTTAAAAAGATATTAACTCCAGTTTCTGCCCAGTGGACAGGGGAGGGGGGCGTGCAGGAAGAGAGGCGCCCAGGGAAAGGTGAAGAGTTACTGCATGTCTTCTCCCTAGGTGAAGAAACTACTTTGTTAATTTTAAATAAAAAAATTAAAGTCTATACTGGAGATAATTTCTTCTCTTCAAAAGGACACCTAAGACTTTTCTCATTTCTCTTGAAGATACTTATGACAGAAAAAGACAAAACAGTAGCAACAGAAATCAAGACGGGCTGGGTGTGGTAGTTTATGCTTATAATCCTAGCATTCAGGAGGGTGACACAGAAGGATCATAAATTTAAGGCCAGCCTGGGCAGCTTAGTGAGACTCTGCTATCCCTACCTTCCAAAAGAAAACTTTCAAATAGTCTGGAAAAAGAATAATGGTAATAGCCACGGGGGGGGGGGGGGGGGGGGGGGGGGAGGGGGAAAAGGACTTGAAACAAATGTGAGATTCTGTGGAATCCCACTTGAAGGGAGCACAGGAGCACTTGGTTACTGTTTTTGTAGCTTTTCAGCTTTTATTTCAAAATGATTTTTCAAAAAATGTGTACTTTTTTCTGTATAAATGTATGTCCACCTACATGTATACATGTGCACAGTTACATCCAGAAGCTCAGGCCTCAGCTCAAACTGATTAAATCAGAATTTGGGGGAGCTCAGTATCCCAGCATGTGGCTTTAAAACAACAGCAACCACTCCTGCCCCACCCCATCGCACTCAGTGATCGCAGTAAGCTGGCACATTGGAGAACTCATGCTGTAATTCACGAGTCATTGTAACCACAATCACCTGTGCAGCTGGTTTGTTAGCGGATTCTAAGTCTGCCACCTGTAGAGGAGAGTGCTTGCAGTCCAGTTGGACAGACCCCGCCCGGCCCCTGGCCTCACCCCTCGCCCTGCCCCACACCTGTCGCGTATCCTGCCTCGTGTATTTGTGTAGGCTTCGTGCAGGGGTGAGCCAGGCCCCATGCGCGCGCATGCGGGCCGCGTGCGCCCCAGGTGCAGCAGATAAAAGGCGGCTTCCACTGCGGCCTATGCGGCCTATGCGTCCCAGTGTCGCCATGGACGCTGCTCTGGAGTCCGGGTCTGAAGTGCCCTTGCTCCTGGTGACTCCGCAGCCCGAGGTGCTGGAGGAGGTGCTCCACCAGTTTTTTGGCCCACTGCCCCAGATGGCCGCCATCTGCAGGCTCAAGCGCCTGCCCTCCGGCGGCTACTCGTCCACCGAGGACCTCGGCTTGGTGTTGGAGCGTCGGCGTGTGGCCAACGCCAAGGAGCGCGAGCGGGTAAGGGGCCCCGGGGCTACCTGGGCGCGGCTGCCTTGTGTATGTACCCCAGGAAGGGGCCAGCTCCCCATTTGACACCTCGTAGATCTCGCAACCCCCTGGCGCACCCCCTTGGCGACTTCGACCCCCTGAATCCCTTCTGCAGTCTCCAGCTGGCCAGAAGAATGACAGTGGCTTGGTCCTCCATCCACGTCCGACTGCTTGCCCGTGGTCACTGGGGTGGCCGCTGGCCTCTGACCCTCCCGGACTCGTGAAGGAGACAGGCCTGAGGATAAAACAGAGCCCCTCAGCAGGTGTCTTAAAAATGCTTGGCCCGTGGCATTGCCTTCAGTCTCAGCTGTAGGCACTTGGGGAACTTGGGTGCAAATGGGACTCTTGCTTCTTTTCTCTGCCTACTGTGCCCCGGTCTCAAAGCCAAGAGAGTGTAAGGAGCCTGCATGGAAGCTACTTTTCATTTTAAAAATCCAAACGGAGCACAATATCCCAGGATGCATTCAGACTCTCCACCCATCAGGAGAAAGTGACTTCCCAGTCATACTGGGTCTGAACCTTTTTAAACCAATTTGAGTGGTCCTGTGCTCTATCAGCGGGTAGCTTTTAGGAACCGGGTTTGTCAAGTCTGAGCTCCTTGTTAACTGTTAGAGGATTTGGGTTGGTTTCCCACAGAGGTTATCCTAGAGAGGGGAGGGAAAGGCTGACACGGGGAACATGGAGTAGTACCTTTATGCCTAGGATGGGAAAAGTTCTACTCGAGCTCTTCCTAGATGCCTACGTATAATTTAGCCTCAGTGAACTTACTGGAGTTTTTGTGTGTGTGTGGGGGGTCTGGTCGTGGGGCCTGAACTCTGGGCCTTGGCGCTGTCCCTTAGCTCTTCAGCTCAAGGCTAGCACTCTACCACTTGAGCCACAGCGCCACTTCCGGCTTTTTTCTTTTTGCTTATGTGGTGCTGAGGAATCGAACTCA